GCACTTTTGAAACATAGCTTTTGTGTCAGTTTCTTGAGTTGGGAAAGACCTGCTGGTCCATGGGCTGCAGGAGGGAGTAGTGGTTTTAGGAAGGCAAAAGCTTTGACCTTAATGAAGCTCATGTCCCCAGGATAGTCGCTTGCCAAGTCTGTAGGTTGGACAGTGGCACTGTCTAATACCAGGAGGCACGTAAGTTTTATTTCTTTTCAATTAGGTAATTTTTCAAAGTTGGGCAATACTTGGTGTAAACAGTCATAGAAAACCGTCCCTAGTGACCCATTGTCTTACTTTTGTTTGGCCGCCCTCCACAGCACACACAAATTAGCCTTGAGGACATTGTTTTCCTGAACACTCTGAGGAGTTTCAGAGTGATTACACTAATAAAGGCTTCACTTTGCAATCTCCACTAGGCATTGGCACACATTCACAGAGTTAAGCCTGTTTTTCATAGTGTTTATGTCCTGGGATAGTGCCTGAGTATTGTAGGTCCTGTTGGCATGTTTTCCAAAAACAGGCCTGTTTTCGTCGCAATTATACACTTGTCAGGTTTCAAGTCTTCACTGTCTACGTAATCTTGAATTCCTTCAATATTTTTCAGTGCTTTTTGTTGAACCGGCAGCCTCACCATGCCTTACCACGCTGTGTATGCCACTATGATTCTTAAATCTTTCAACAACCTTTGTGGCCGTAAATTCACTCACAATCGCACTAGTTGCAGGCATGTTTTTATGCCAAATTTCTGGGAAATAAACAACTATTTGTATTGTAGCACAGTGTTTATCCTTAAGCCTTACAGTATACCAATACAGTACTAACACATAAAAAGTAAAGTTAAAACATGAAAAATACAAAATAAAAATAAAATAAAGTCTTACAAATGTTTTGTTGATTTTCATAGTAAGTTCGACTTACACCATTTCGACTTACCCCCGGGTTTCTGGGAAAACCAAAACTGGGTCGTAGTCGGATGGAGGGTATATAAAAAACCCCCCTCGGGGTTTTCTTTATTTCTTTCTGTTCTTTTTTCTTGTTTATTTCCTTTTTATCTCCAGGGGGAAGGGGAACAGAATTCTTCCTGGGTAACCATGCGTGTTGTAAGGGGCAACAAAATGCTGGGAGCAAGGGCTGAAACCCCTTCCCTGAAATATTACAAATGTAAAAGGGAGAAATTTTCGTTTTTCCTTTTGGGCCCCCCGCCTCGGGGGTACGGCCGGGTTTTTGAAAGAAAGAAAGAAATGTCCCAGCAATTTTTTTAGAAGTAGTATATGAAACTCCTTGATTACATGTGAGACAAGGTCACTCTACACTACTGACAGTGCATCACTCATCGTCATTTTGCTGTTCATGCATTTTCCCCAAAACCTTAGCTATTTTTTTTTTTTGTCCACACTTTACATCTATCTGTCTATGTCTTTATCTGAAAAACTGTTGTCTATTGCTGTCTGTTAGCTGTTAACTCTGTCCTGTTTATTTTCCCTTTTTATTGCGCTTTCCTGCCTTCCTCTCTGAATGTGTATCTCTCTCTTCTCATCTCCCTGTGTACTCGCCTGTCTTCTCCCCGCTCAGGAGATGCTCAGAACCAACAGGTTTTACAAACACTGAAAATCATCATGTCTGAATCCTGAACAAGTTGAAATGCGTATTACTTAGAGTCATGCTCATGCCCCTCATATCTATAAGCACAGTATCCACTTTCCCTGTCTTTTTTTGGGTTATTTAGGTAATTTACACTATTAGACAATTTAAAATTTGTTTATGTGAATAAGAGACAGGAAGAACAAGATAGAGACCCAAAGTCAATCAGACACCCCCCCACCCAGCTATAAAGTCAGTCACCCCCCCACCTCACCCACCCACCCAGTCACCCAACCAGCCAACCAAACCTGTGAACACATATTAAAAAAAAAAAAAAAGTTCATTTTGAATCCCCCATGGTTACCACAAACAAAAGAGTTAGCCTACCCTTAAAAGGTTTGTGCCGGCAGTCCCTTTCCTCCTGCGACGTAGTCCCTTTTTGGCATTTTTTTCCCAAAACAGGCCTTTTTTCGTAAAATTTGAACACTTTTTGGGGGAGGAACCCTTCACCTCACTACCCCTTAAATTTTCATCAACAAATGCTTGGGCTCACTTTTTGTCAAAACTTGCAGTTCCCCAGCCTTACATTTTTATTTTTATATCAAGGGGGAAGCGCTAAACCCGTAGGATTAACGGGCCCCAGGGGAGGGGGGATTGGAAGGCATTCAGGCAAATTGGGGGAAAGGGAGCACAGACCCAATTCTTAAAATAAGAGCCCCTCACCAACAAAAGGGAAACCCTTCCATGGGGGGCCCATCCCCTTAAACACTGTGTATGCCACTTGCTTCTTTGAATCGTTGAACCAGCCTTTTGCTGGCCTAAATTCATTAGCAGCAGCACTTTTCCCCCCGAATTTCTTTAAAGAATTCAAATGCAACACCTTGCCTTCACTTCCCAGGTCTTTTCTTTTTCCTAAGGGATAGTTTATAATGGGACATTTGGAGGATGACCTACCCTGGTATCAAAATTGAAAGGATGTGGTTTTTTTTATATTTCCTCGTCATTTGACCACATCCACTCAAAGTCATAAACTCTGGGTCAACACACTTTCCTCTTAAAAGGAGAGTTTTAAATACAATGTGGCATCATGAACCCCCCTGGTTTTTGTGCGCGTTTTTTAGCGGGCACTCAATTGAACTGTGCTCCCACAAAAAAAATGGGTTTCCCGATTTTTTAATACTGTGACATTTATTTAAGACCCCAATTATTTCTGACATGTATTTTAGGCCAATCATCCAAATTTGGGACAGGAAAAATAAAACACAAACTATGTTTGAAATAAGAAAGAAGGGAACACTGCAGCAGCCACTGGCCCCTGCAAGGGGGTCCCAAATCTCTCCCGGGTTAAAACCCCCTTTAGGGGGTTTTTGTCGACTAGTACTCTTTTCGCGTAGGGGTTTTTTGACGACTAGTATCTAAATTCTAGCGGCCTCAAGTCTAGTGGGAGAAAGCGGTAGGCCCCTTTATATAAAGAATGGGCTATGTGGTCAGTGGCCGTCTAAAAAAATCCTGAGCACACAGTGCTAATGAGAAAAAAAAAAAAATTTTTACCATTTTTTTTTTAAAAATAGCCTTTTCAGTGTATTTTCGATGGTATTTATTTTTGTATTCTAGTTTTCTTGGTCTCATTTTATAAAAAGGAAAACATATTACAGAAATTGAGATATTTTTACTGGTTTTACAAAAAAAAGTGCCCAAATTGGCCAAAGTAGCAGAAATTTTTGATTTTTACCAAACTTCAAAAATAAAAAATCGTCCAAGGGCAATACAGTCAACTGGTGAGCTAATATTCTTCACAAGTGCACCAAAAAATTTTACCTTTCTTCACTAATCGAGTCTGCATAACAGTAAATCTTCTATTTTTGTGAGAATAAAAATTCAATGGAAAGCAAAAGAAAAAAGAGGGGCCTTTGGACGTGACTAATGACCAGAAAATGTCATTTTAGTTCCCCGGAAAGTCTTTTTTGTTTATTCTGGACCCTATTCCCAAATTTGGCTCTTTTTAAATTTGTGTGAAATTGGCAAAATTGCTAATTCTGACCACTGTACTGGATAGTTGAAATTTTTATAAAAAGTGGTTTTTTGCACCCTTCGATAGAAAAAATGGATTTTTTACGAAAAAATTTATGTTTTTTGTGCTAGTACAGTGAAATTGGCCGAAAAAGGGGCTCAAATGGGGGAAAAACGCCGATCGTAAACATCGCCGGACCGCTAACTTTGCGAAGATAATTCCATAAGTTTTTTACAAATTTTAAATTTGGGTCTTTTTTGATCGGGAAAAGATTCTCTATCTTTTTTTAAAAGAAAATAATTTTTTTTTTTTTTTTTAAAATTTTGGGCCGGGGCCCCGAGAAAGGGGTTTTGGAGAGGGCCGTGACCCCCCAAAGGGTTAAAACCCAAAGCCCACCATCAGGTCAGGTCAGGGCCCATCCCCTTAAAATCAGGGGCACAGCAGTAAGAACGTAGATCAACATTTGGGCGTTAAGGGGTTAGTTCTTTATTTCTCACAGGGTATGAAAAAAAACATGTGCTAACGCTGATTTAGAAAAAACAAATTTACCACACCCATGAACCTGAAAATTATCCTACAGTTTACACCTGGGGGTTTTGAAAAAAATGGAGAAAGTATAGTTTCCCCCCCCTCCCAACATAATATGGCCAATAAAGGGAAAAAAAAGCCACAGAATGGGGGTTTTGAAACCCCTGGTAGTGAGTTGTAAGCTCAAGGGATGTGTAGTCACTGTACCAGCGGCTACAAAAATTCAGCCCAACTAGGTGTATTTATCACTAGTTTGGACAAGTTATATTGTAGCCACTGGGACAGTGGCTTACACTGGCCTGGAGTTTTACGCCACTTGCCCGATCCCCCCCCCCCCCGTATAGGGTTTTTTTGCAATCGTGTTAGATTCGTGAGTATTAATTTAACAAGATTGTTGTTATATTGTGTAGAAACACATAAATTACCATAATTTAAACCAAAATTATTTTCAAAGCTTTTCTGTATGAATCAAATTTTACTTATTTTCGAATGGGGGGGGAAACAAACTTGAAATTTCTTTCCCGGGCAGAATCCAAGTAAAAATGTCCCTGGGCTTATTCATATCACTGCAATCTTTGCCCGCCAGTAATGGGAGCAATCCTCAACAAAACATTTTTTTTAAAAAAATTTTCAAATTCAAAAACCCTTTTTTTGCTTTGCCCTTTTTTTTTTCTTTATTTTCTTTTTCACACGATTACTTTCACCCGGGGAAATGATCAGAAAGACAAAAATTCACCATCATACTTTCCAAAATATGGGCTACCATAAATTTAAAGACTCTTTGAACCATTTTTGAAATTTATATGTACATGACCATTATATTACACGGTAGTTACGTTCCTGAAAACGCTGTGTTAGGTAAATGTGTGTTAGATAAAATGAAGAACTTAGGGCAAAAATGAGGTTACATTCCAGGGAGCCTTCAAAAAATCCAAACAATTTTTTTTTAAACCTCCAGATCTTACAAAAATAAAAGTGAATATGTAATTGTTGTTCACTGTGATGTATTATGTTGTTTTACTGCTTAAGATTACAAACAAGAGAAATAACAGTATTTCTTACCTTAAATTCTGGGTGCTGGTGTGTGTTGATGATTGTGAAAAGAGTGGAGAGTTATGCTGTTGCACTACTGGGCTGAGGTGGATGATAGAGGTTCTGGTACTGAAGTCAATAGTTCAACTGGAGTGTGCATAAATTCTGTAATGGATTTCTGTGCTATTTTATCCTGCAGTACATTATACAGCTAACAGTAAGGTATCAGCTGCTCTAGAAACTGTTTCAGAGCACTGCTGCTAGATTTGTCAGAGTCCTCTTCAGTAAAAAAGTCTAACTTTAAGTCAGTAAGTTGGTAAAGTCAACTCAGTAAGTCAGTCAATAAGTCAGTCAGTAAGCCAGTACAACAGTAAGTCAGTCAGTAAATCAGTAAGTCAGTCAGTGAGATGATATCCTGGGTTATTCATTACACAAACTCGTATATTTACCTCATTCTTTTTAACTGTACAAACTGATGCTTCATTACAGCCAAAGGCTCTCTCTTGTCTAATATCTCTACCTCACTGGCAACTACCCTAATACTCTATTTTTAGCCCCAACAAACTCTACTGAAATCTCGCTTATCATCAAAACACTAAAGAACAAGACAGAAGACCTAAATAACTTACCACCACTCATGCATAAAAAAGCTTCTCATGTGTTGTCACCAATTATTGCAACTCTTTTTAACAAATCCATTGAATCTTACACCTTCCCATCCATACTCAAGGCAGCAAGAGTCACCCCAATCCTCAAAGGAAGTGATCCAACTGAATTGAACAATTATAGGCCTATATCAAACCTGCCCCTGCTATCTAAAATCTTTGATAAATTAATACACAAACAAGTCTACTTTTACTTCATATCCCACAACATACCTAACCCTTGTCAGTTTGGGTTCAGACCAAAAAAAAGTACTAATATTTTTATTTATTTTTATTATCACACCGGCCGATTCCCACCAAGGCAGGGTGGCCCGAAAAAGAAAAACTTTCACCATCATTCACTCCATCACTGTCTTGCCAGAAGGGTGCTTTACACTACAGTTTTTAAACTGCAACATTAACACCCCTCCTTCAGAGTGCAGGCACTGTACTTCCCATCTCCAGGACTCAAGTCCGGCCTGCCGGTTTCCCTGAATCCCTTCATAAATGTTACTTTGCTCACACTCCAACAGCACGTCAAGTATTAAAAACCATTTGTCTCCATTCACTCCTATCAAACACGCTCACGCATGCCTGCTGGAAGTCCAAGCCCCTCGCACACAAAACCTCCTTTACCCCCTCCCTCCAACCCTTCCTAGGCCGACCCCTACCCCGCCTTCCTAATGATGCTATTATACATATGCTTGAACTAATATACTCTGCACTCGAGAAAAATGAATTTCCCCTGGGACTGTTCATAGACTTACGAAAAGCTTTCGACACAGGTGACCATGACCTTTTGCACCAAAAACTCGAACATTACGGGGTCAGAGGACACTCTCTCGATTACCTAAAATCTTATCTCCACAACAGAACCCAGTAGTATACACAAATGGAGCCTGTTCCACTACACAACCTGTTCTTGTTGAGTCCCACAGGGGAGCATTCTTGGCTCACTTCTCTTTCTCATTTACATCAATGATCTACCAAACGAATCTAATCTCCTTAAACCCATTTTATTTGCAGATGACACAGCTTATGTCTTTTCTCACCCAAACCCAACCATACTAATAGACACAGTAAATGCTGAACTGCTAAAAAATATCAACTTGGATGATTACCAACAAACTTACTCTCAACATAGACAAAACCTACTTCATGCTTTTCGGAAACAGAGCATCAAATGTACAGCTAAACACACTGATAAATGGTTCACCTATCTCGAGACAGGCAGAGGGCAAATTTCTAGGTCTCCACCTTGACTGCAGTCTCAAATTTCAGACACACATACAGCAAATTTCTAAGAAAGTCTCCAAAACAGTAGGCATCCTTTTAAAGATACGGTATTATGTACCCCAAGCGGCTCTTCTTGCTCTTTATCAATCTCTCATTTACCCTTACCTCACCTATGGTATTTGTGCATGGGGCTCAATCACAGCAAATTACCTTAAATCTTTAATAATCCAATAAAAAGCTGCAGTGCGACTGATTACCAACTCCTGCACTAGACAGCACACTCCACCGCTTTTCGAGAGCCTTAACTTGCATAATATACAAAACATCCACACTTATTATTGTGCCTACTATACACACAGAACATTATACTCAAATATTAACCCTCCTCTTAGACTCCTCCTTGATAACTACAACAAAACACACAGGCATAATACAAGGCACAAATTGCTCTTCGATATCTTTTGTGTCCATCTCTCCCTATGCAAAAATGCTATGCACATAAAAGACCTGAAGATCTGTAATTAATTGCCAGAACACACTAAAGAGCCACTGCTTGCAAATCAATTTAATTTTTTTTTTTTTAACAAACCAGTCGTATCCCACCAAGGCGGGGTGGCCCAAAAAGAAAAACCTAAGTTTCTCTTTTTAAATTTAGTAATTTATAAAAGAGAAGGGGTTACTAGCCCCTTGCCCCCGGCATTTTAGTCACCTCTTACAACACACATGGCTTACGGAGGAAGAATTCTGTTCCACTTCCCCTCATCACCCAAAATTAACCAGACAAACACTTTACTTAACCCTTTGAGGGTCGACAGGCCCTCTCCGAAACTCGTTCTCAGGGTCGGCCAAATTTAAAAAAAAAAAAAAAAAAAATTCTCTTATAAAAAGATAGACAATCTTTTCCCGATCATAAGGACACCAAAAGTTTGAAATTTGATGGAAAACTTACGGAATTATGCTCTCGCGAAGTTAGCGGTCTCAGGGATGTTTATGCATCGGCGATTTTGCCCACTTTGAGCCCCATTTTCGGCCAATTCCACTGTACTAGTTGACAAAAAAACATGAATATTTCGCTAGAACTCCAATTTTTCTATCGAATGGGTGCAAGAAACCACCCATTTATGAAATTCAACTATCCAGTACAGTGGTCAGAATTTAGCAATTTTGCCAATTTCATACAAATTTCAAAAGATGCCAATTTCCGAATAGGGTCCAGAATAAACAAGAAAGACATTCCTGGCACTAAAATGACATTTCCTCTGGTCATTAGTCACATCTCAAGGCCCCTCTTATATTCTTTTGCTTTCCACTTTGAATTTTTATTCTCACAAAAAATATAAGATTTACTGTTATGCAGACTACTGCATTAGTGTAAAAAATGGTATAAATATTATTGGCGCACTTGTAAAAGAATATCAGACTCACCAGTTGACGTGTATTGGATCATTGGCACGATTTGTTTACTTTTGAAATTTGGTAAAAATCGAACATTTCTGCTACTTTGAGCTCAATTTCAAGGTATCTTTCATTGTAAAACCAGCCAAAATCATCTCAATTTCTGTAATATGTCTTCCATTCTATAAAATGAGATCAAGAAAACTAAAATACAACAATAAATACCATACGAAAATACAGTGCGAAGTCGCTGTTTTATTCCAAAAAAACGGTCAAAGTTTTTTTTTTCTCATTATGCACTGTGTGCTGCAGGATTTTTTTTAGACTGTGCACACTGACCACATAGCCCCATTCTTTCATATGAAGGCCTACCAGCTTTCTCCCACTAGATTTGAGGGCGCTAGAATTTAGGCATACGTCAAAAACCCTGCGTCGTAAGCCGTAATAGTACTACGTCCGAAACCCTCAAAGGGTTAATACCTACCAGTTACTCAAAAAAAATACTAAATAATTTAACCCGTGAATGGTCCAAGCAGATCTACGTTCACATGTGTAGTACTACAAAAGTAGATCTACGTTTTTTTACATATTTTCAAATATAACAAAAAAAAAAGTAGATCAAAGTTTTTTTACACATTTTCAAATGTAAAAAAACAAAAAGAAGATCTGCTTTTTTTACATACTTTCAAATGTTGAAAAAACGTATATATACGTTTGGACCGTTTACGGGTTAAGACTGCTCAACTTCTTGATCATTTATTTCAAACCTAAAATTTTTTCAATTTCATTATTGTATATTGTGCTTAATGACTGCTCAGCCATTTACTCATTACTTCAAACTTAGCCCCTTCAGGGTCCAAGGCCAAAATCTGAAGTGGTGCCCCAGTGTCCAAGAATTTTCCAAAAAAAAAAATTTTTATTTTTGGTTTTGAAACAATAGAGAATCTTTTTGTGAAAGTAATAAAACAAAAAGTACGAAATTTGATGGAAAATTGACGAAATTAAGCTCTCGCGAATTTTGATGTGTCAGCGATATTTACGAATTGGCGATTTTGCCAACTTTGACTCCCATTTTAGGCCAATTACATCATTCCAGTCGACCAAATTCTTAGCTATTTCACTAGTATTACTTCTATTCTATTGATTGAGCACAAGAAATCGCCAAGTCAACTGTTACAACTACAAAATAAAGTGATCGGAAATTGGTAATTTGGCCAATTTAACACAAAGTTCAAAATATTCAAATTTCAAAATAGCGTCCAGAATAAACAATGTAGGTATTCCTGGAACTAAACTAACATTTCCTCTGTTCATTAGCTACGTTTTGAGTCTTTACAAATAAATCCCATTTTGATTTTTTATTCACATAATGAATTTTTATTCACACCAAAAAATAGAAGATTTATTGTTATGCAATATTGTAATAATTGTATAAATATCATCACCACATTTGTGAATGTATATTAGACCCACCAGCTGGCGTGTATTAGATGTGTGAGGTCGTTTGTTTACTCTTGAACATCGGCAAAAATTTAACATTTCCACTACTTTGAGCTCAGTTTCAAGCCATTTCCAGTGCTAAAACCAATCAAAATCATCTCTATTTCTGTAATATGTCTTCCATTCTATCAAATGAGACCAAGAAATTGCAAATACAACTATAAAAAACATATGAAAAACACTGCAAAGTTGCTGTTTTAATCGAAAATCTTGGTTTCAGTTTTTTTCTCTCATTATACACAGTGTGCTGCAGGATTTGTTTTATGTGGTGCACACATACCACATAGATGTATTCTCTCATATCTAGGCCCAAGTGTACCACTCACAGTTTATCAGAGCGAGCTGAGCTTATGACGTAGATCTACGGTTTGGACCCTGAAAGTAAAGCCGTAGATCTACAGGACGGACCCTGAAAGGGTTAAAATTCTTTCAACTTCATTGTTTGAAATTGTGCTAAATTGTAATACTGTATATTTTTTAAAAACTATATCAAAACTAAGTATTCTCTACTGAACTTACTAAAGCCATATAGCGTGAACTAACAGAATATTCAGTTTTCTTGTATTCACTGTCACTCACCTAATGACCATATGTACAATTACAGCATTGTTATTGCCTTATTAATCTTAAGTTAGTCTTAACTATGTCCAAAATGCTCTGCATATAAAGGGGCTTTGGCATGTACACCCAATTGTTACACTCCTTTGTATAAACATGTTTTTTTTTTTTTTCAACAAACCGGCCGTATCCCACCAAGGCAGGGTGGCCCAAAAAGAAAAACGAAAGTTTCTCTTTTTAAATTTAGTAATTTATACGGGAGAAGGGGTTACTAGCCCCTTGCTCCCGGCATTTTAGTCGCCTCTTACAATACGCATGGCTTACGGAGGAAGAATTCTGTTCCACTTCCCCATGGAGATAAGAGGAAATAAACAACAACAAGAACTAGAAAGAAAATAGAAGAAAACCCAGAGGGATGTGTATATATATGCTTGTACATGTATGTGCAGTGTGACCTAAGTGTAAGTAGAAGTAGCAAGACGTACCTGAAATCTTGCATGTTTATGAGACAGAAAAAAAGGACACCAGCAATCCTACCATCATGTAAAACAATTACAGGCTTTCGTTTTACACTCACTTGGCAGGACGGTAGTACCTCCCTGGACGGTTGCTGTCTACCAACCTACTACCTATAATAAACATGTATCATGCTAAAATAAACTTGTTATTGTCAAATAAAATGAATGGAAATAAGAAAATGAAGATACTCTAGAAAAGACTCATCAGGGTAACTAGGGATCCCAGGGCAGCTAGTTTTCTGTTCCAGCGACTCAGCACTGCTATTCAGAGGGGTAATGCCTGCTGTATTTTGGGCATGCGCCCCAGTTCTGAAGAGCTGGATGAGATTTTCGCATTATAATCAGTGACAAACACGTAACAATAAGTACTAGATATGTATCTCTCACACCTCATGTACTGTATGTGCCATCTTTATATCAACAATGTATCTCTTAAACCTTTTGTACCATATTATGTAATAAAATATACCTATTGGTAAAAATGAATGAAAAGATGGGGTAGTAAGGGAAAGTGGAATATTCAAACAGCTTCAGGAAGAAATCCAAATATTCTTCCTCGAAGCCTTATTATCCACCTCTCCAAGGCTTTGGGTCCCACAATTTACACCAGAGGTGGACCACTCTATAAGTATTTTATATTTTTGAGATACATACTTGCACTGGCAACATGAACAACGTGGGAACACTCACCTGCACTTGCCGTCAGCTGCGTCTTGCTGAAAATTTTCTCTCTTATCTCTTCTACTATAGCCTTCGATAACCTACCATTTTCATTATCTGAAAACCAAGTATTTCAAAGTCTTAATATGTATGTCTATAAATCCAAGGCAGTGATATTTTATATATTAGGGTAAACATGGGGATGTGTCTCACAAAATTTTAATAACACCATTGTAAAGAAAGACGTATATTTAGTTGGATGAATCGTATTAAGAGTCATCTAGCCCAATGGTTAACACACTAACCTGTGAGTTTCAGCACTCACTTGCCATGGGTTTAAACCTCATCCATTCCATAATTTGAAAAGGATGTGAGAAGGAAGGAGAGGAGAAAGGTCTTCAGTATATACTGTACATGTTTTATATATGTTAGGTACAGGTCCTCCATCACAAATCCGGCATCATTGGGACCTGTAGTGTGAAGGATTACTGAGTTTGCCGGATTACAAAGTGATTAGGTTAGAATACACTTGATAAAATTAACCAACTTGACTTACACAAAGTTCATTGAGCATTGGCAAAAATCAAACATTTCCATTACTTTGAGCTCAATTTCAAGGTGCTTTTCGTCATGAAAGCAATCAAAATAATGTCTATTTCTGGAATATATCTTCCATTCTATTAATTGAGACCAAAAAAACGAGAATACAACCATAAAAACCATATGAAAATATACTGCAAAGAAGCGGCTAATGGCTGAAAAGTGAACTCCTTTATTTATTGTCCATCTTTTTTTATTTTTGGTGTATGTTAAGAAGCATCTTTCCATCATACATTGCCCAAGTTTCAATAAGACAGCCCAACAAACAACTGAGAAAAAAAAATATTTACCAAAAATCATATATGGCAAGCCCAAGCCAGGTACTGGAAATAAGTCACTGTCTGACTTTTCTGGGTTATCCTAGGTTCTTTATACATACACTGCTATGTATGATAATCTATGTAACTGTATTTGTGTATACCTGAAAAAAATTACTCATTTCTAGTCTGTCGACTGAGTACAAGAAACCGCCCATTCACCTATTTCAACTACCCAATAAAGTGTTCAGAAATTGGCAATTTGGCCAATTTCACACAAATTTCAAAAGATGCCAATTTCAAAACAGGGTCCAGAATAAACAATGCAGACATTCCTGGAACTAAAATAACATTTTCTCTGCTCATTAGTCACAGCTCCAGGCTCCTCTTATATTACTCTTGCTTACCATTTCGAATTTTTATTCACACAAAAAAATAGAAGATTTACTGTTATGCAGACTGCTGCATTATTACAATAATTGTATAAATAATGTCAACCCATTCTTGACTCCATATTGGAATTTGGACTGGCAGGCGGACAGGTATTGGACGGCGACGTCATATGTTTACTCTTGAGCTTCGCTAAAGAATAGAACATTTCCACTACTGTGAGTGCAATTTCAAGGTACTTTTCATCATGAAGGCAATCAAAATCATATCTATTTCTGTAATATATCTTCCATTCTATCAAATGAGACCAAAAAAACGAGACTATAACCATAAACACCATACAAAAATATACCGCTAAGCGGCCGCTAATGGCTGAGAAGTGAACTTCGCTATTTATGGACTGATTTTTTTCATTTTTGGTGTACGTTAAGAAGTATCTTTCCATCATACATTGCAAATGTTTCAATAAGATAACCCAACAAACAATTGAGAAAATAACAATAATAATAACAATACTACTACTACTACTAATAATAATAATTTTTTTTTTTCTTCAACAAGTCGGCCGTCTCCCACCGAGGCAGGGTGACCCAAAAAAGAAAGAAAATCCCCAAAAAGAAAATGCTTTCATCATCATTCAACACTTTCACCACACTCGCACATTATCACTGTTTTTGCAGAGGTGCTCAGAATACAACAGTTTAGAAGCATACACATATAAAGATACACAACATATCCCTCCAAACTGCCAATATCCCAAACCCCTCCTTTAAAGTGCAGGCATTGTACTTCCCATTTCCAGGACTCAAGTCCGACTATATGAAAATAACAGGTTTCCCTGAATCCCTTCACTAAATATTACCCTGCTCACACTCCAACAGATCGTCAGGTCCCAAGTACCATTCGTCTCCATTCACTCCTATCTACCACGCTCACGCACGCTTGCTGGAAGTCCAAGCCCCTCGCCAACAAAACCTCCTTTACCCCCTCCCTCCAACCCTTTCGAGGACAACCCCTACCTCGCCTTCCTTCCCCTATAGATTTATATGCTTTCCATGTCATTCTACTTTGATTCTTTCTCTCTAAATGACCAAACCACCTCAACCCCTCTTCTGCTCTCTGACTAATACTTTTATTAACTCCACACCTTTTCCTAATTTCCACACTCCGAATTTTCTGCATAATATTTACACCACACATTGCCCTTAGACAGGACATCTCCACTGCCTCCAACCGTCTCCTCGCTGCTGCATTTACCATCCAAGCTTCACACCCATATAAGAGTGTTGGTACTACTATACTTTTATACATTCCCTTCTTTGCCTCCATAGATAACGTTTTTTGACTCCACATATACCTCAATGCACCACTCGCCTTTTTTCCCTCATCAATTCTATGATTAACCTCATCCTTCATAAATCCATCCGCCGACACGTCAACTCCCAAGTATCTGAAAACATTCACTTCTTCCATACTCCTCCTCCCCAATTTGGTATCCAATTTTTCTTTATCTAAATCATTTGATACCCTCATCACCTTACTCTTTTCTATTTTCACTTTCAACTTTCTACCTTTACACACCTTCCCAAACTCATCCACTAACCTTTGCAATTTTTCTTTAGAATCTCCCATAATAATAATAATAATAATATCTTTATTTACTACACGTACATGTACAACGTATACAGGCCTAGCTGACATCAGTGACATACTACTATATAGAAAGCCCCTTGTTATGCAGAGTATTTCAAGCAAATTAGGTCAGTGTCCCATGATAACACCCACACCAGTCGACTAACACCCAGGTACCCATTTACTGATGGGTAAACATAGACAACAGGTGTAAAGAAACACGCCTAATGTTTCTACCCTGGCTGGGAATCAAATATTTACCAAAAATCATATATGGCTAACCCAAGCCAGATACTTGAAATAAGCCATGTTGTCTGACTTTTTTGGGTTATCCTAGGTTCCCTACACATATGCTGCTATGTGTGATAATCTATATAAAGAAAATAGCTTTTTTGTTTCAGGTTTATGGTGCAGTATGAGTGTATATCAAAGTTAGCCCTGTGCTATACTCCGTTTTCTCTAATATAAGCCCCAAGACAGGGATAGGAGAATGGTACTTGTATCTCATTTCCTCTTCATACCTCCATCGAACTGCTCAGTATTATGCCAAATATTATTCATTCTGGAGTATTTAACATGTTTTATGTTATTTATATTGTTTATTATATTAAATCAACTGTGATAGGCAATAAGCTGTAGTGTTGATATTAGCGTAATAATAAAGTATATTCCCCTGCATCACAAGACTGAGCTCACAGCAACCGACAGTGGCTTCAAGGCCACCTTATCTTTAATGGACAATGTACTGTGTATGTGCTTTACACAATGAGAAGCATTTCTTTTATTTGTTGGAACCATGGCTAGGGCTAAAAGTAAACAGGTTATAACAAACGGAGAAAAGAAATTGGAATGACTTATGCAGCAAGTAGAACCACCAAACAGTACCAGCAGGTTGGTGTGGCGACCCTGGAAATTTGAAATTATGCTAGCCGAAATTAGTGCCGAATAACTGAAGGAACCGAATAACTGATTGCCGGATTTGTGATGGCAGACCTGTACAGGATAATCTTATTTAACTGTAAACACAAAGTGCAGGTAAACCCTCAATATAATGGTCCTTGATATAACTGACCTCAATATAGTGTAATGGGCTTCAATATATTAGACCTCAATATGACAGACAAAATCCCCTGCTTAAATTGTACTTTTAGCTCATTTAATTTCAATATTTACTGCAGTACACTCTATCTACAAGCTGTGTGCACTGTACTATATAAAGTACAGTAATACCCCGGTTTTCATCCTTAATCCGTTCCAGAAGGTTGGCTGAAATCCAAAATGGACAAAAAGCCGAAGTAATATTTCCCATAAGAAATAATGTAAATCCAATTACAGTGGACCCTCAGTTAACGCCTGCATCGGATAGCGCCAAAATCGGATAATGCCTCGCTTTGGCATAAAAAATTGACTCGGATAACACCTAAAAACTCGGTTAGGAGCTTTCGTCCTATTATTATGTCATATTAGACATAATAATATTATGTCATATTAGATAAATTGTGATAGATAAATAAGCCGTAGAGATATTAGTATCATATTGAAGCATAATAAACTCGCCTTCCTCTCGCCTCCTACATGCCTGCTACGCTCCCTGTCCGTCTGCTACACTCCCAGCACGCCTGCTACACTCCCTGCATGCCTGCTACACTTCCTGCATGCCTGCTACATTCCCTGCATGTCTGCTACACTCCCAGCATGCCTGCTACACTCTCTGCATATCTGCTATACTCCATCAAACTAACTACGTAATTAAACATCTCCAAGATAAGTGCAAATATTTCTGTTATTAATATTGTAATATTATGTCATATCAGATGAACTGTGATAGATAAATAAGCCACAGAATTGATAAAAGCGTCACATTAAAGTACAGTGGACCCCCGCCTTACGATATTAATCTGTTCCTGAGAGCTCATCATAAGCCGAAATTATTGTTAACCAAATTAATTTTCCCCATAAGAAATAATGGAAATCAAATTAATCCGTTCCTGACACCCCAAAGTATGAAAAAAAAAATTTTACCACATGAAATATTAATTTTAATACACAAAAACTGAAGAAGACGTGCACAATTACTACTCTACTAAGAATAGAATACATGACACTTACCTTTATCGAAGATCTGATGATGACTGATGGGATGGGAGGAGGGGAGTGTGTGGAAGTTATTGTTTAGAAGGGGAATCCCTTTCCATTAGAACTTGAGGTAGCAAGTCCTTTTCCGGAGTTACTTCCCTTCTTCTTTTAGTGCCACTAGAACCAGCTTGAGTCACTGGACCTCTGTCGTACAACAAATCTGTCCATAGAGTTCTGTACCTCCCGTTCCTTTAAGACTTTCCTAAAATGAGCCATAACACTGTCATTGTACAGGCTGCCAACACAGCTTGCAGTAGCTGTGTCAGGGTGATTTTCATCCATAAAGGTTTGCAGTTCAATCCACTTTGCACACATTTCCTTAATCTCTTTTTTCAATTCCATACTAATTCTCGCCCTTTTTACCACAGGGATGGCACTAGAAGCTTTCTTAGGGTCCATGGTGACTTATTTTGCAGTTACAAGCACTAAAAACACTGGGATAATGTGAAATGTACCAAATGTATGCGTAGATGCGACCGTACGGGCGGGCTTGTAAAAACTGGTGCTGGGGCCACACGGGGGACACTCCAGGAATCACGAAGGTGGTTTTTTTATTGTGAGGCGGGCAAAATTTTTGCGTTCAATGCTTCGTAGGAAATTTAAAACATAAGCGATGCTTTCATAAGGCGGGGGCCCACTGTACATTCTGTAAAGCCTCCTACGCAGGAACGATAATTTGGGTTTCCATTATTTCTTAGGGGGAAATGTTTTCATTTAAAGGTTAAATCGGTTAAACCTGCCCCGGGGAAGAAAAAGGGTGTTAACCGAGGCCCCACGTATTTTCCAACCCCAAAAATAAAAAAAAATACATTTTTGGGGGAAAACTCTTTTTTTTACATAGAGAAACAACGAGAAATAAAAAAAAAAGGGACTAATTTTAGTGGTTTAATAAACATTTAAAATGATTTTTAAACCTTTATTGAAGACTCTTGTTGGTGTTTTCTTTTGGACCCACATACAACTGTTTTGCGCCTTTTTCCAAAATTTTATCCCCTCCACAACACTATCCCTGTAACTGTTTTTGTTGATCCACACCAAAAACAACTTCTCAAAAATTTTCAATTGTTTGCTATCAACCCCTCTACCACCATCACACTACCCATAAACCCCCATCACTAACCCACCAATCCCCCCCCCCCTCCTTAATCCCCCACCACCCACACCACCAACCCCCTACCAACACCCTCTATCACCTCAACTACCACCCTCACCACCACAAAATAATTTTCCACCCAAACCACTACCACCCTCTACCACCCTCAACCATCCTCTACCACAATCACTACTACCCTCTGCCTTTGTAAAGGATTTATCTGGAGTATACCTGGAGAGGGTTTCGGGGGTCAATGCCCCCACGGCTTAGTCTGAGATCAGGCCTCGTGGTGGATCAGGGTCTTATCAACCAGGCTGTTACTGCTGGCCGCACACAAACTGACGTACAAACCACAGCCTTCTTGAAGACAGCCAGGGATCTATTGGTAATCCCCCCTTATGTATGCTGGGAGGCAGTTGAACAGTCTTGTGTCCCAGACACTTACTGTGTTGTCTCTCAATGTACTTGTGGCATGGTAGTGATACTTCTCCACAAAACTTTGCAACTCATTCTACGAGTTCTTTCTTGAATTCTATCATGTTTCTCACCTTCTTTACCAAAGGGCTTGGCCCCATTGTGGCTTATTTCACAGTCACAATCAATAAACAAGCACAAACAACAATGGATGAACGTGCGGAGTATTGCTAACTCAACGAGAGACAGAGGCAGGCTGAGTCTATTACATGTAAGAAGTGGCATCCCGGGTAGGTGGACGCATCTGATACGGGCGATTTCCGAGCGGAAGTACAAAACCCGGGGGAAAATTTCGCCGAAAAAAAGAGCTCGAAATCAGAATTGTATGATTTCACACTGGATAAAAACCAGGGGTCCACTGTACAGTAAAATACAGCCTCTCCTCACTTAGCAACATACTCGCTTACTGACGACTCGGACTTATGACGGGCTTTCTGACCAGTATGCATACCTAAATAATGTATGTTAGAGCTGATTTCCTCTATTCTGTTTATTACAGTATACAGTACACTACTGTATAAACATTTAAAAATATACTAAAAATGTTATAAATGGTGCAAAGGTGACATTAAAACAATATCAAAGATGGTTGACACAAACCCACTACCATTATAGTATGCTCCTCACTTAGTGACAAATTCATTTACCGATGTGATATTAGGAACAGAATTCCATCGTTAAGTGAGGAGAGGCTGTACTTCACAACTTTTTCTGCAATTGTTCAACATAATTCTGATTTAACAAAAATTTGGAGAAACCTTCCCATTAGTCCAATATATAGAGAGTTTACCATAGTGATAATCAAAATATAATCACCCTCCAGTTTGTCGACATCATAGTGTGAAGCATTTTTGTTCATATACTCGGTAATGTCCAAGTATGCCTCGTCCAAAGAAGCAGAGCAAAAATTGGCATCGTACTCGGAGAAAACTTCATGAATCTCTTTACTAACTTGCTTGTACTTTGTGAAATTTGGAGGAACAATGACAAGATCAGGACACAGCTTCTTGCCAATGAAACCTGGCATGGCAGCCCGAACACCAAACTTGCGAGCAGCATAGTTGCTCGTACTCAGCATTCCCAGCCCTCCCACTGCCATGGGCTTGTCCCTGTTAGTATTTATTCATAAAATTAAATTCCACTAAAATAGGGCAAAACAGGTGATAGCAATTTTACACATGTTTTCCATCTCTATACTCTACTCTCATTTCCTTACAATGACTCTCCACTTGTCTATAAAGTCTGATATTCTCATAATAAAATAATCTAAACTGAAATTCAATTTTACTTTAATACACTGGCCATCTCCTACTGAGATAGGGCAATTAAAAAAAAAAAAAAGTGGTAGCACATCCACGGTCACTCGTCATATTGCTGTGTTGCATTAGCAAGCATTAGTATCAGTCTGCTCAAAATGCTTATGTATGTTAGTGGCTTTCTTTGTGCTTAACTATATTTTACTACATGTAAACTACACATTGTATGCTACACAAAGAAATAAAGTTTTGAATTTTGAATTTGACATGCTGACATCACGGTTCAGATGACACACCAAACTACAACACTGCCACCTGTCTTTCAAAGTACCAGCACTGTACCTCTCAATTTCAGGACTTAAGTCTGTCTAACCAGCTTTCCTGAATCTTTCACATATAGATCACATCACATTACACTTCAACATACACTCTCATATAAAAACTCACACAATTTAACTATTAATAGTATTAGTCTAGCAGTCACCATCAGTGGTGGATGTAAGTGTGGGCAGAGTGGGCATCTGACCAAAGGCATCCACCAAATAGAGGCCTCCACCATTAAATTTAACAATAATGTTATAAAATAAGAGTCTGCAGTTACAAAAAATTTAAAGTTTGAAGTAACATTAACAAAATGAGAACAGTTTGTTACCAAAGTAGCCTGGCATGGCAGTATAAACATCAAATTTGTAAGGGGCTTCCACCACTAAACTTAAAAAAACTATTAACATTATAAAATAAGAGAGTCCAAATTGTGCAGAATTTATGTAGATTTTGTACAGTTAAAAAAATATCAATAATAATATTAGACCTTTTAACAAGTGAGCCACAGTTTGCAACTCTTCCAGAAACATAAGTCACTTTTCAAGGTTTTCACCTGAGAAAACATACTGATAATGATAATTATATGAAAAAATTGATTGCAAATCACTATGCAAAAACATACAATAATTTGAAAGGTCATAGTATAAGCTTTCAAATTATTGAATTGATAGTAAGTTAAAAATTGAATTGATAGTAAGTTAAAAATAATAGTTAAAATATAGGCTACAAGATTAATCATTAACATCTGAAAATGTTAACAATATACCAGCACCCAGGGGACCAAACTGTGGATGATGTACAGTAAAACACCTCATTTAATGAATTTTGGAAATTATGGACAAAAAATTTGTTGAACAAATGCTGGAATCACTGATGGATAACAAGGTAGTTAAGTTTTTGAAAAAGGTAAAAGTGTGTGTAAACTGAACTGAAAAATAGGGGAGAAGAACAGGGTTATGTTCACTACACCTCCCCCTCAAAAAAAAAAAAAAAAAAAAATATAGGTCTCAGAATTATACAAAGCAATGATGATGATAATGTAATTATAAGTTGATGAAGTGATGCATCAGTTGAAGATCCTGCAACCACAGATGGAGATGCCTTATTGTTTGGTAGTCCCATTCATTACAACTGTATGGGGATTATAAAGTGGGGTTAGAGTGGTTGGGGTGTACACGGGAGGGGTTAGGCAGGAGAGATCAGAGCAGCTAGAGTGACAGAGAGTTCAATGTGGGGCTGGGGAAACTGGGGTGGGGATTAGACGACTGCTGTTATAGGAAGTGGAGACTGGTGAAGGGGTGGGGACAGGAGATGAAGGCTGGTGTTGGGAGGTGGAGGATGCTGGGCAGTTGAGGGGTGTAGGGGGGGGAGAGGCTGAGGTTGGTGTGATGCTTACTGTTTGGGTGGCAGTGTCTGTGGCTCTGTGTGGGTGGTGGTGTGGATGATGGTGGATGAATGTGTAGTTGGTGGTGTAGGCTGTAATGAGGGTGGTGGGTGTTAAGTGATTAGGTGTGTAGATGGCATATTAGGGTGTGTGGGCCTTGAAAGCATGGGTAAAGGTGTGGGTGAAAGCTGTGTGAACTGAAAGCCGTGGGTGAGTGGTGTGAGTGAAGTGTGGTTGACAGTTGCCTGGTGTGCATGGTGATGTGGCTGATGGGTGACTGGGTGAGTACATGGTTGGTGTAGACAGTAATCAGAGCAGTGGGTGCATAAGTGATTAGGGATGAAAAGTCGAGTAAGGTGTGGCCATCAGGTCACTGGGAAATGGTGTAGGTGTAGGAATATGGGTGCGGGAGACAAGTGTGGGTGAAGGCATGTGGCCATGGGGGAATTACAGAAGTGGGTGGTATATGTGGGGCTTGTGGGTGGTATGAGCGAGGTTGCTGGGTGTGTGGCGAGGGCAGGTGACCCCAGGAGCAGGTGGAGTATACCTGGAGGGTGTCCCGGGCACCAACACTTCCGTCCATGGCCAGGCCTTGCTGTAAATCAGGGCCTGATCAACCAGGCTGTTACTGCCGGTCAAACATAATCCAATGTACGAACCACAGCCAGGCTGGTCATGTACTGATTTTAAGTATCTGTCCAGTTCCCTCTTGAAGCCAGCCAGGGGTCTATTGGTAATCCCCCTTATGTATGGTTTGGGTGGAAGCAAGTGGTATGGTGGAAGCTTGTGGGTGAGGTATGGCACTGGATGTGTACAAAGTGCATGAAATATGGTAGTGGATGCGTATGAACAGAGCACTGAGCCTCGGTGCATACACTTATATAAGTCACACTGTTTGACTATATTGGGTGATCCTAAACTGCATTTACTCACTGTGTTGTTTTGGGGAGACTGAATTCCACTGACAGTACAGTATTTTTTTTTTTTTTTTTATTATCACACCGGCCGATTCCCACCAAGGCAGGGTGGCCCGAAAAAGAAAAACTTTCACCATCATTCACTCCATCACTGTCTTGCCAGAAGGGTGCTTTACACTACAGTTTTTAAACTGCAACATTAACACCCCTCCTTCAGAGTGCAGGCACTGTACAGTACAGTATTATGAAACTGTAATAAATTCACAATGAACAAGGCATCTGTCTGGCAGTGGCACACCCTGTTTGATGTTAGGGAAGCTGGTGCTGGAAAAACAGGTCCTGGTTTCATTATTTACTTAGGTTAGTAAGGCAGTGTTACCCCATGAAGCACTGCAAGGACCTGGCTGGTCTTAGATATTTTGAAATGCATGAAGAGGCTGTAAGAGACCCAAAGAGTTGAACTGTGGTCAAAAATAATGACAGGTGGCATATTTGAAGACATGCAAAATTGTGCGTACTAGTTTGCCGGATACACAGTAATCACCTCCACACTGGTAAGTGAAATACACAGTCGGCACTTGCGTACTTGTATATCAGACACACAGTCATCACCATCATACTGGTATATCAGACACACAGTCATCACCATCATACTGGTATATCAGACACACAGTCATCAACTACGTATTTGTACATCACACACACAGTCATCACCCTCATACTGGTACATCAGACACACAGTCATCACCTGTGTACCAGTACATCAAACACACAATTATCACCTGTGTACTGGTACATCAGAGACAGTTCAAAGGTTAAGTTACAACTCAAGTGTTTGAGTCACCAACTCCTTATGCAAAAGGGGATAAATCTAGACCAGGCTGGTCCATGCACTATATCATGGTTAACACTGCCTCAGTAACATGTTAACAACAAAAACCACCATTATCACTATCTACAACCACCATCTTCAATGCCAACAACCACCATCTTCACTACCAACAACCACCATCTTCACTACCAACAACCACCATCTTCACTACTAACAACCACCATATTTTGTATATTAAGTTCAAGCTTCCGAAGAGTGGTGGAGTGTGTCTGACACTGGAATGAAGAGTGATGGAGTGTGTTTAACACTGGAATGAAGAGTGATGGAGTGTGTTTGACACTAGAATGAAGAGTGATGGAATGTGTTGTCTGACACAGGAATGAAGAGTGATGGAGTGTGTTGCCTGATACAGGAATGAAGAGTGATGGAGTGTGCTGTCTGACACAGGAATGAAGAGTGGTGGAGTGTGTTGTCTGACACAGGAATGAAGAGTGGTGGAGTGTGTTGTCTGACACAGGAATGAAGAGTGGTGGAGTGTGTTGTCTGACACTGGAATGGGTGATAATCAGCACAGCAGTTTTTTGAGGGTTATTATTGGTTCTAGGTGATTAGTTGTCATTAGATCCCCAGGGATAAAAACCATAGGTGAGATAAAGATAAATTAGAGATGGTACAATGTAAGTAGTGTTGTGTGAGGTACACAGTAATGTATCTTGGAGAGAACACTTACTGTTTTGGAGAGTTTCTTGGCTTCGTTGTCGGAATTAAATTTCATATTGCAATTAAGTTGTAAACCTAAGTGGCAAGACTATGGGCTCCATACACACAGTGGCATGACTATAGGCTCCATACACAGTGGCATGACTGTAGGTTCCATACACACAGTGGCACGACTAAGTTCCACACACACACAGTGGCATAACTATAGCCTCCATACACACAGTGGCATGACTACATGTATAGGCTTCTCACAGTGGCATGACTATAGGTTTCATACACACAGTAGCATGACTATAGGCTCCATACACACAATGGCATGAATATAGGTTCCACCCCCACAGTGGCATGACTATAGGTTCTGCACATACAGTGGTATGGCTATAGGTTCCACAAACACAATGGTATGACTATAGGCTCCACACACACACAGTGGCATGACTATAGGCTCCACACACACAGTGACATGACTATAGGCTCCACACACACAGTGGCATAACTATAGGCTCCACACACAGTATGACTATAGGCTTTACACAGTGGCATGACTATAGGCTCCTCACACAGTGGTATGATTACAGACTACACACACACACACACACAGGGCATAACTATAGAATCCACACACACACACAGTGGCATGACTATATCAATCAATCAAGTTTATTGTCTATAAAGATCACGATGCGGGGTTTACATATTATAGAATATTGGTTACAATGTGTGGTTTACATATTATAAAATACTAATTACAGAGAGGGCCACTATCATGCCTAGCATGACTAGGCATTTCAGGGCAGACTAAGATTAATTCAAACTCTATATTGATACAAGTTATGGAGCACGTTGATATTAAGGCTATGTAACTGCATTACAGTTCGTAAATTTAGCAATGTGAATGGTTTTGTCTTGGTATAATACATAGTTTCTATTAAAGCTCTTATATTGGAGTATCTCAGGCAAACTTATGACTAGTTTAAGATTCATTAGGTAATAGTTTTATTATGTATTTCTATGTTTACAGTCAATTGGGCGAGTGTAAGTGTGAATTGGGGGGATCACAGATGTTGAGAGTAGGTCTAGTTTGTTTTTGTGTATGTATGATACAAGAGAATAGGTGGTTTTCATGTAGTTAGCTGATGTAAAGTAAAAGGACACAAGTGCAACTAATGTGACATTTATTGTGGCAACGTTTCGCTCTCCAGGAGTTTTATCAAGCCATTACAAACAATACATGGACACAGAGGGTATATAAAGGCTCAGAGTGAGGTGTAATACTAGTGAGGTACCATTTCGATGTTCACTAGTGGTAGTAGTAGTAGTAGTAGTAGTGGTAGTGACAAAAGTAATACAATATGGTAAAGCAATTAATTCGTACATGAGTAAAAGGATATAAAAGCCATTACTTGGGTAAC